ACTACTGGAGACGGGCCGCAGGAAAATCAAAACTCGAAAGAATTAATAACGAACGTATACGAGAGGTTATGGGAGTCACACATACGATTGTCGAAGATATAAGAGTACAACAACTAAAGTGGTATGGACATGTGCAGAGAATGCCAGAACATCGTCTGCCCAAACAGATTATAGATTGGTCACCACATGGAAAGAGAAAAAGAGGCCGACCCAGAAAGAGCTGGAGAGAAGGAATAGACAGAGAGATCCGAGAGAGAGGTTTAGACGAAGATCTTTGGGAAGATAGAGATGCATGGAGATTGGGCATCGGAAGACGTCGGAGGACGTTTTAAAACCGATTATATATATATATATATATATATATATATATATATATATATATATATATATACAGGAGTTCCATACCCTAGGTATTGCATACCAGGAGTATATTATCTTTAAAGCGATTTATTTTGTTTCCTTGGCGTTTTAAATGAGTCTTGATTATTTGTCCTAATTTCATTCCAGTAACAGAAAATTAAGCATCACCAAGACTATGAATGCATTGTACGAAGCACCTTTCCTCTTTATAAGAGAATATTGATGGGTATCCAGGTTTTCCAGCGTGTACTCCTTTTAATTTGTAAAAAATAGTTCTCCTTGGAATGTTGAAGGATTCAGCGGCAACTCTTGTCCTTATGCCATCTTTTATTGCTGACAGACATGCTTTCAAATCTTCTTCTGAGTAGTCTGCATATTTGCGAGTTTCCAGTTTCCTTTTATGATGTCTGGGCATTTCCTAACAACCATTTTCCTATTAACCTTTTACTCTTGAAAATTGGCAGTGTAAAGTATACCCAACTTCTGCAGTGAAGTGCAGCCAAACCACTCTCTCAAATTCCGCAACCATGACATGCTTCTACGGCCTGGATTCCGTTTTCCTTCTATTTTTCCCTGCATTATATTTTGAAGTAATGCGTATTTATGTCCTCTCATCAGGTGACCAAAATATTCGAGTTTTCTTCGCTTTAGCGTTAACAAAATCTCTGGGTCTTTTCCTATTCTTCGTATTACTTCACAGTTTGTTATTCTTTCAACCCAACTAATCTTCAGCATTCGACGGTAGCACCACATCTCGAAACTTTCAATATTTTTCATGTTGTTCTGTTTGAGAGTCCAGGCCTCTACACCGTATAATAGCGTGTTAAATACATAGCCTCTCAGCATTCTTAATCGTAGAGGGATGCTTATATTTCTGTTGCAGAAGAATTTTCTCATCTTTATGAAGGTGGCCCTGGCAATTTCGATACGTCTTTTTATTTCACTGTTTTGGTCTCCAGTTTCGTTTATTAAAGTTCCCAAGTATTTGTAACTTAATACTTTTTCAACTTGAGTGCCGTTTATACTAATATACGCTGGTTGTGTCATGTTTTTACTGAAGACCATATACTTGGTTTTTTTAATATTGATATTTATACCATAATTGTTGCAAGCAATATTTATGTCTGTAAGTAATCTTTGTAATTCTTCTACTGTTCTTGCAACTAGTACAGTGTCGTCCGCGTATCGAATATTATTTACAATCTCTCCATTAATTACGATTCCTCCGTTTGCTTGTAAAAGGGCTTCCTGACAGATGCTTTCACTATATACATTAAATAACAGAGGTGACAAAATGCAACCCTGTCGTACTCCTCTACGTATTTCTATTGCTTGTGATGTTTCAGTTTCTATTTTGATGTTAGCTTTCTGATTCCAACATAGATTGAGAATTATTCGCAGATCTTTATTATCTATGTCCTTCCTTTCAAGAATCTCTCTAAGCTTATCATGGCGTACTCTGTCAAACGCTTTTTCAAAATCGATAAAACACGTATGTACCTCCTGATTAACGTCTAGGCATCTTTGTGTGAGAACATTCAAACGAAGAGAGCTTCTCGAGCACCAAGCCCTTTTCTGAACCCCATCTGTGTATTACTAATATCTGACTCCAACTTTTGATAAACTCGGTTGTGGATGATTTTTAGAAATATCTTTAGTAGGTGGCTCATTAAAGATATTGTTCGATGTTCTGAACATTCTTTAGCATTAGATTTCTTTGGCAGTGTAACGAATGTAGACAACAGCCACTCTTGAGGTATAATACCAGTATTGTATATTGTATTAAATAAGTGCAATATTAAACCTATTGATTCATCATTCAAGAGCTTTAGCAATTCGGAGGAACCTCATCCGGTCCATTTGCCTTCCCAGTTTTGGAATTTTTAAGTGCCATTTCTACTTCACATTTTAGAATTTCAGGTCCCGTTTCGCCATATATCAGAACAATGTTATTTCTGTTGTCCTCAAATAATTCTCTTATGTATTCACTCCATCTATTAATTTTCTCTGTTAAATCTATAATAATCTTTCCATCTTTGTTCTTAAGCAAACTTATTTGACGTCTTCTTTGGGTTCCTGTAATTTCTCTTACTTTTTTATGTATATTGAACGTGTCATACTTTCTTTCATAGTTTTCCATTTCTACACATTGTTCTGTAATCCATGATTCTTTGGCATTTCTTATTCTTTGCTTTATGTTCTTATCAACCTCTTTGTATTTTTCTGCATTATTCTTCATTTTACGTCTTTCATCCATTAGTTCTAGAATGTCTGGTGTCATCCACACCTTATGTTTCTTTGCAGATTTGGTTAGGTGTTTCTTTCCCGTAGATCTTATTATAGTATTTATATACTTAAGTTTTTCATCTATGTTGTCTGTTCTGCGGATTTGGCTTTCTGCTACACTGAGGCTGGTGTTTATTTCTTCTCGCACTGTTTGTCGTAGATGTTCATTTTTAAGCTGGCTTAAGTCTAATGCTGGAATGATGGCTTTTCTTATTTTCTTTGGTCTAGCTTCTATCACAGATACTACTGGATTATGATCCGAACCGATATCAGCTCCAGGGAAAGTTTTAGTAGATTTTACGGCATTACGGTATATTTTTGTCACCAATATGTAATCTATTTGGTTTCTGACCACTTTTTCTTGTGTATGTTGAGGTGACGTCCACGTTTATAGTCGCCTTGGGGGTAGTTTAAAGAATGTATTAGTTATTATTAAATCTTCGCTTTGACAAAACTGAACTAAACGATCACCCCTTTCATTTTTATTACCAAAGCCATATTCACCGACATTTTCTCCAACTTTACCCTGACCTACCTTGGCGTTCAGATCGCCCATTACTATGTTAATGTGTTGTCTCTTTGTTGTTCTCATCACCTCTTCTAAGATATTATAGAATTGTTCTATTTCCTCTTCGTCTTTGTCTGCTATAGGAGCGTACACTTGTATGATGTTTATCATGTTCTTCTTATCTTTTAATTGTATTAACATCACGCGCTCTGAGATTGGAGTAAAGTTTACTACAGCATCTTTCCATTTTTTTAAGATGATGACTCCTACTCCGTATCGATGGGTTTTGGTGTCACTTCCGGCATAATAAAACATTACCATGATTATTTGTGGGACATTTGCCGTTTCCTGGCCATTGTGTATCGCTCATGCCTAATATGTCTATACCCAAACGATCCATTTCCAACACGAAGTTATCTTATTTTCCCGAAGAGAATAAGCTCCTTAGATTCCATGTAGCAATGTTTATGGTTGTCTTTTCTTTTTACAAGGGTTTCGCTGGTTTACGACCGAGAAAGCCTTGTACTTACCTATTTCTCTTTCTCTGCCGGATCTTGGTATCCGATGTAAATGATCAGTACTTTTCCTTTGCATGTCTACCATGATGATTACTACTAGGGGTACTCTATGAGTCTTTAATGCAGTGGTTCCCCGTTGCCTTCTGCATCCTTATGCCGTTGACCATTCTGTAGGGTTCATCCGCCTTCGAGATCGATTTCTCGGTCTCAGGACAAAAAAGTGCCCTAACACTTACCAACTCATCCGCCCGAAGCCGTTGGTCAGTAGGTCAGTAAGTGCGGGATTGCTTATACCAACAATCGCTCGGTGAAATTTTCGCCATATCTGGCTACCCTCACTTAGTTTAGCCTGCAGACCAATGCAGTTGCCCGGGGTGTGGCACGTGGAGCCATAAGTGAGAGTTAGTTGTCTTATGAGGACCAGTAATCAAGAACCATCTCCCGTCTATGACGCTCGATGTGGTCGTTCCGATAAAAGGTGCTACCTCTATAACTCAACCCTACACCCCTTTATGTAATAACACCGTTATTTTAACAACTATAAATCGCATTAGATTGTAGTATATGCCATTAGACGTGTACTTACCAATTTGTGTCCGCTAGGACTGTCTGCACACTATGACTTTGCAAAGTTAGAAAATAATAGATTTTCGAGGTTAATATTCTAACCGTTGCTGATAGATAACTGGCGACCGCAGAGACAATCGAACGCGTCTTGCTCACATATTGCGATGTTGCCTATGTGCTCTAGAGGTAGAACAAATATAAACAAAATTGAGCGTAGATTTACAGAAAATATACTTTTACACGTTTGGTGCAAAGTTACCCTGCTCAGTGCAAAGTAACCCCGTTTTACGGTATTTATTTATCTTTTTTTTGCGACATCTGTTTTTTTTTAATCGAAACTTCTATCTTCTTAGAGTGCAGTCTTTCTACGAAGGTTGACAACCATAATGACTATATATTTTTTAATTTAAACACGAATTCTGCTTTTGGCCAACAAATCTTCCTTGAGTTTTTGTCTGGCCTAGTAGCCTAGAGGTATTCCAGTTTCCTCGAATCTTTTATATTGGCAGTGTATTACTTTTAGAAAAGTGTCACGGAAGTACTGCTCCATATTAATTCACTGCTCCATATTAATTCGTTTGTGACGTAATTAATCACAATACAGAGTTGAATGAGTCCATTTACGACATGAGGATGTTTTTATACAACATGTAAACTTTTTAATTTTTTTTTGGAATCTGTAAAAATAATAAAGAAATCATAAAATAACTTCATTTTACATTTTATATTTTAATTTACATATATTTTACATTTTATATTAGAGTTGGAGCAGACCATGGTCAAGAAGAAATGTACAACCATGAAAATGGCAACATTGTTCATAACGGGGCTGCACAAAATGGATTTACAAATGGGATAAATGGGACACACAAAACTACCAATGGTAAGTAATTTTAAACGAAAGATCATAAAATATATTCCAAATTATTTGGTTTGCCAATGTTTAAAATAAAAACTTTTTTCAGGTAGCTACACCATGGTTCCGACATATTCACATGGGTTTTCTCTATTAATGAACCAGATTGTGGCTATGTTATTAAAAAAGTTCGTTTCAACTGTCCGTTCGTGGATATTACTGGGAATCCAAGTAATGATGCCCACTCTGTTTCTTATAATTGCCTTTGTCGTAGCCCGCAAAAACAAAATGACTGGAAATCTTCCTTCAATGCCTCTAAGCTTAGATAAATTTGAGAGTCCCGTTACTTTAGTGGAAAATGGTACGTCAGATTATTTGCCCTACTATATGAAAGTTTTAGAAGATTATGGATATCCTGCAACGATAGTAGATAATATTACTTCAACATTATTAGATATGGTAAGTAAAGCATCAAGTTTTTTTTATTCTTTTATTGCAGATAAATGTAATTTTATTAACTAATAATATTTGAAAGACTGATAAGACATAAGTAGCATGAGATATAAACACAAAGACATACACAAAATAACATGGATGAGACCAGAAAGTCTTCAGGGAAATCAAATAGACCATGTGCTGATCAAAAAGGCACACAAACAATCGATAAATGACCACAGAGATAATCTCACAGAGAGGCCAACATCGATTCTGACCATATGTTAGTGATTACAAAATGTTAAATAAAAACAACAAAGAATGAAAGACGAAATGCACAAAGAATGTAGGAATAGTGGGCACAAATCAAGCAAAGAATAAACAAAGCAGCAGAAAAAGTGGTTGGCAAAATGCAAAATGAAAGAAGAAATTATTGGTTTGACGATGAGTGCAAAGTAGTAGTAACAGAAAAAAATAAAACAAGATTGAAATCATTAAGCACAAGTAAAGATGAGAAACGAGAAAAATACAAAGATCAAAGATCTAAAACTAGGTAACTGAAAACGGACAGCTAATATAGATATAGAAGCAGAAAAATGGTAGAGGTATTTTAAGGAAATATATCAAGAATTGATATGATGAAGAAGAAAGAGAATCAATAATAAACACGGAACAATATAAGCTGGAATATACAAGAAAAGACAAGGTGAAAGTTTGGAAATCACCGTTTTTTCCGAACCTGACAATAGTTTTTTCTTTAATTTGTGACTTTTTCACAAATATATGAACTTATTTTCTAAGAACTATTTTCTGTTTCAGACAGAGCATCATCCAATTCTCGTTACTAGAAGATACCAGGCAGCAGCAACATTTGGCGAAGCTGGAATACCTGAACTGCAATTAAACTTACCGAATTTGACAGCTTGGTTTAATAACAACCCTTTTCATTCACCGGGGGTATCTTTGTCCTTAATGTTAAATAGTATTTACCGAAAGTTAGGTGATTGTGAAGATTGTACTATAGAATTTACGAATAATCCTTTACCTTACAGTCCTGAGACGCAGGCGTCACAGTTGTTAACAGTACAGAATATTGGATTCCAGTTGTCGTTTAATATAGCATTTAGTATGTCATTTGTTGCTTCCTTCTATGTACTATTCGTTATCAGAGAAAATCGTTGTAAATCTAAGCATTTACAGTTTGTGTCAGGAGTAAAGGTATACGTCTTCTGGTTAACTGCAGCTTTCTGTGATATGTTGACCTATCTGTTAACTATATTTGTATTGATGATCACTATGATTATGTTTCAAGAAGATGGATTTAAGTCACAAACTGATATAAGTAAGTAATAAAATATAATTTATAATATATAGGGGAGAGTGTTCCACAATTAGACATGTTCCACAATCAGACAAAGCATGGAATTTTGAAATTCCCGCCGTAAGTTTGACGTTTTTCGTTCGGATAGTGAGGTTATACACGCCAATGTGGTAAACAAAGTTTGAACGCTGTTCTCTTGGTTTTGTGCATTTTTTAATAAAAAATCGTTTTTCAAGGTAAGTTTTTTCTATCGTTGATATGATATTATATGCTTTAATTTTTCTTCTGAAACTAGTATTACAAAACAACCTTTACATCAGATTTTGGGCTGTTTTGTCGGCATTTTATAAGCAAGTTTACTTTTGTAGGTTATGTATGAAGGTCACAGTTAAATTTAATTTTGTATTGTAGGCTGTGTTCCACAATCAGACACTGTCTGATTGTGGAACACAACGCTTGTTTGGAGTGTTGTTGAAAAAGTAATTGTTTTTGTAAAAATTTAATTTATATTTCAGGAAAAATGGCTCGAGGACGTCAGCGAAAAAGCGATAAAGGGCAATTTGATGAACAATCCATGAGAGCTGCTGTTAGAGCAGTCACCGAAGAGAAGATATCTTTAAGACAAGCAGCTGAAAGCCATAGCCGATTACGTATTAACTTGCCCAAAAATGTGTTACGGACAAACTGTCATTAATATCAGAAAACTGGCTTATGAAATGGCAACTATTAATAATTGTAAAATTCCGGAAAATTGGCAAACAAACAAGGAAGCTGGACGCGAATGGTTCTTTGGATTTATGTCGAGACATTCAGAATTAAGTCTTCGCCAGCCGGAAGGATGTAGCCTCCCCAGAGCGACATCATTCAACAAACACAATGTTGGACTTTTTTTCAAAAATTTGGAAAATGTGTTTCAGAACCATGGACATTTTTACAGCGGTACAAGAATTTATAATTTAGATGAAACTGCCACCACAACCGTCCAAAAACCGCAAAAGATTGTTGCTCAGAGAGGGATCAAGCAGGTCTCTTCCTGTACGAGCGCCGAACGAGGTTTTCTGGTCACCACTTGTTGTGTTATATTAGCATCCGGGAATACAATACCACCAGTCATGATTTTTACACGAAAAAAGTTTAATCCTCGAATGACTTATGGAGCACCGCACCGGTACTTTGGGATTGGTTTCCGATTCTGGATGGATGACTCGTGAATTGTTTCCAAGCGTTGTAAGGCACTTCATTAAACATACGTCCAGCACAAAAGAAAACCCTTCTCTCTTAATTTTTGACAATCACGAGAGTCATCTAACGATAGAAGGAATAAATCTAGCCAAGGAAAATGAAGTGATTATTTTGACCTTACCGCCACATACTTCCAACAAGCTGCAACCATTAGATGTCTCGGTGTTTTTTTCGTTTAAATCATTCTACAATACTGCCTTACACACATGGCTTTTAGAGCACCCTGGGATACCTTTTTCTATTTTTGATATCGCTGGCTGTGTTGCTTATGCATTTGAAAAATCGATGACGCCCGGTAATATCAAATCCGGATTTGGAAAAACTGGGATTTATCCCTTCAATAAATTCATATTTACAGATGACGACTTAGCAATTAGCAGCGTAACTGATAGGAATGGGGATCAAAACAATGAAGAAGCTCAACGACTTATGGAATCCAAATCAACCATCAACATCAAGATGCATTAAAGAAAATATAATGTCAGACTCCTTAGTTTTGGTATCAGTTAGTTTAAACACAACACCTACACAAAATTACAAAGAAACTTTTGTAAGTCCACAACAATTTAAAGGATACCCAAAAGCTGAAGAACGAAAAAAATCAGAGAAAGAAGAGAGAAAAAGCTAAAAGTATTATCGCCACGGACACTTCAGGAAAGATCGCCCTAGAAGCTAAACAAATGGAGCGAGAAAGAAAAAAAGTGTTAAGAAGAATAAGGTCGCGAAAAAAAAAAGTAATGGATGAAGACTTAACAGACGAAGAAAATGAAGACGCGGCGATGCTTGTAACCGAAAGTTCCGATGATGATATTGATTTTGTAGGAGAAATCGATCCACCCCCACTTCTAGATAATCTTAATAAAGAGCCAGAAGTTAGCGATTTTATTTTAATGGAATTTGTGGACAAAAAGAAAAAAAAATTATTACATAGCTGAAGTGTTCTGTAAAAAGAATAAGGAATGCGAGGTTAAATTTTTGAGAAAGTCCGTTAAGTATAATAACAGCTTCATTTACCCCGAAATAGAAGACGTCTCATTGGTATGTTTGGAAAACATTAAGATGGTATTACCAAAATCAGCACATGTGGGAACAACAAAGCGGCAACAATCTTATTTGAAGTTTGAAGTAAATTGTTCAGCTTTAGAAGTTCGTTAAAACATTATTACCTTTTGTCTTATTGTAGAACATGCAGTGTCTGGATGTGGAACATGTGTGTTCGACTATCAGACAACTGTCCTTCCTTTGTTAAACAAACTTTTTTTAAATTAGTTTTTGGTTTATGATGTTTGTGCTACCATAAAAACTTATGTTTAGCCTTAATTTATTTTAGTGATAATCATATTTTGGTTGGTTCAATAAACAAGGTCAATACTTAGAAAAATCTATTTTGTGTCTGATTGTGGAACACTCTCCCCCATTTATGTCCTACTTCATTCTGAGTCACAGTAATTAAAATGTACTGGTACATGAACATTTATAATCTGCAAGTCCTACTGATCTAACATTTTAACGCTAAGAGACAAACTAATTATTGTTAAACTGGAAATAAGCCACAATTAAAGATAAAAATACGTTTATTGACGTTTCAATTTCCACTTCGGAAATCGTTCTCAAAATACAAAACAAAACAGAGACAAACTAATTAGAAAAGAAACTCGTCCAGCACATTTCATATCAGTTAACAAAACTTTACGAACGATATACACAACATCAAGAAACCAAATTAAGAGCTGCCAAATCATAAACTTTTAAGTGCAGAAGACCTCTCTGTTCATTACGCTTTTTCTTACTTTAACATAGATATATCTACACTTGAGTGCAAAAAAATCGACTCAAATTTTGAGAAAGTACGTCTCCTGTCTCAATCAAAAAAGGTGTAAATTTAAAAATATTTAGTGTACAATTATTAACCTCATTATTGAGTTTGAAAAAAGTTTTGATTTTTGGTAAATCGCGTGAAGTATTACAAATAAATATTGCAACACGTAGAAAGGGGGTCATAATTTGACCCATTGAAATCGACACGCACACATTTGGTTAACATCGTAAGCATCAATTTCCATAGTAACCGACTAATACATCAGTCAATTAAGTTCGCAACTTCATAACAAATATTGTTCTGAAGCTATTTTCTTGTGGCATTTTAAATTAATTACTATTTATCTGGGAATAAGCCACAATTAAAGGTTAAAATACGTTTATTGACGTTTCAATTTCCACTTCGGAAGTCGTTCTCAAAATACAAATATTTTGTATTTTTGAATTTACTAAACACTTTCTAGTCAATTGGTTATACTTTTTAGCCTCTCTGCTTCTTTCTGTGTCAGAACGCATGTATTGGCGATTTGCGTCTACACCCCGCCATTAATCACTTGTTGGTCGAAGATTAGCCGAATACGCGCAGCGCGCCATCTATATTTCGACATCAGAACTTGTCATTAAAAACGAGGACGGTCAAATTTGACCCCGCCATGATACTTAAGGGTTAAAATCTATAACAAGGATAATAACCAACAGCGAATTTATGATTATCACGAAATATATATTTTTTGTTTATTTAAATCATCTATAAATTTACCAAGTATTTGAGACGGTCAAATTTGACCCCGTCATGGTACTTAAGGGTTAAATTCCATAACAAGGATAATAATCAACAGCGGATTTATATATTTTTTTGTTTATTTCAATTATCTATAAATTCACCACGTGTTTATTAAAATTACACGCGTAATTAAAATCTTAAATAATTCATAAAATTACTTTATTCAATATTAAAATATTAATTAAATCCTAGAAGTACAAAAACCATAATGTGAAGTTTCGCGCTAGTCTACAGCATGATACAACGAACACAAGATATGATACATAATGTTCCAAATCGGTTCACTTCGCGCATGACGTAATCAAGAACCCTTCTTCACGCAACATTTGAATGTAGTTGTATAGGAAAGACTTTTAATTTAATTTTTTTTATGTAATTTGGCAAATTTAATTATAGTAATTATAAAGATAAGATAAAATTGTGTTATTATAATCTTTAATCATAACAAATATTTTGTAGTTAATTTAATTTTATTGAATTTTGGTAGAGTTGTTTTGTTAACATAGATATCATTTATAAAACATATTTTAATTATGTTTTATTGCACATAAATATAGCTTGATCAACTTATACTCCAGAGTTTGATATTTCAGTTGTTTACAAAGATACAAAAAAGTGGTATCTACATAAAAATTGGTCGAGTACGGCTAAAAATTTTAAAATTATTCTCAAGGGTACAAGTTATTTCCACTTCTTAATTTATTAACGATCTCTTTGTAATTTAGATACACAAAATTTGTACGTATATACTAAACTAAACATCAAAATAAATAATGATAAAGTCAATTTTATTTACTTAGATCGGATGAGCTAGCTGGCCATCGAATATGAATGTAGTGAGGTCACACAATATTACACAACGTATTAAACACTCCCTTTTATTCCCAGTTCGTTACGTTAAGACTTCTCATATCTTTTTTTACTTCATTACTCCATCTTGACCTCGGTCTTTCTCTTCATCTTTTGCCTACCAATCTACTAGGTAGTACCATCCTGGGAATTCTAGATGGAATTATTCTCTGCACATGGCCCAAGTCAAAGTCTTTGAACCTTAATTGCCGCTAATATGTTGGGTTCTTGATAGAGATTCGTTAGCTCATTATTTGTTCTTCTTATACATTGTCCATGCAAGTTTTTCCCACCAAAGACTTTGCGCAGTATTTTTCGCTCCCAAACTAATAAGAGCTCTTGTTTTTTATGTGACTCATTTTTCTGAAGGAAACGTCACTATCGGCCTTATGACGGGCTTGTATATCCTTAGTTTTGCTCTTCGAGATATATTTTTGCTTCTTAACAACCTCTTGAGAGCATATATAGCGCTGTTCCCAGAATTTATATTGTGTTACCTTGGCTGTTATCATTGTTATGTACGACCCGAACGAATTGTTTATTTTTGCATTCCCTATACTTTGTTTTTGCTTCATAATTGTTTTCATCAGCTGTATTTTCCTTTTAGCCAAGATTAGAAAGTCATCCGCAAATGCTAAGCAGTGATGTTTTTTGTGGTAGATCAGACTTGTTTTATTAATATTTGCTTCTTTTTCTAATATTATGTTAAACATTATAGATGATAATGGACCTCAAAGCTTTGTGTTACACTATTGTTTATCTTGATTTTATTCGGTCAGTTAATGATGTTGCAATATGTTAAGAGGAAAAACATGGGAAATTAAAAAAGTACATAGATATATAGATTTATTTATGTACATTTTTTCAACATTAAATTCATCAGACATAAAATACATTAAAACCACATAAGAATAAATACAAATACATAGTGAAATTGTCATTCATTATTCAAGTCACATATTCCTCTAACAGTCATTCTTCTCCTTTAAGTTCCATCTTCTATCGAAGGTTGAAAATCATCATGGCTATGCGGACTCTGTTGATTGCCGCTCTATAAAGTTCTGCATCACTGCATTCAAACCATTCTCTGAAGTTATTAAGCCAGGATATTCTTCGTCTTCCCACATTTCGCTTTCCTTGGATTTTCTCCTGCATAATAAGTTGTAATAATGCGTATTTTTCCCTTATCACATGTCCTAAGTACTCAAGTTTTCGTCTTTTAATAGTTAATATTATTTCCGCCTCATTTCCTATCGTTCTACTTACTTCCACGTTTGACATTCTTTGAATCCATGATATTCATAGGATTCTTCTGTAACACCAAAATTCAAAGGCGGCAAACTTATTCAGATGGACTTATTTTAGTGTCCACGCTTCCAAGCCATAAAGAAGCGTAGAGAACACGAAGCATTCTCAGACGTAGTTCTAACCTTATATACCGATAACAAAGAAACTTTTTAAGTTGAATGAATGATGTACGTGCTATTTTAGTACGTATCTTAATTTCTTTGGTTTGGTCTACATCTGATGTTATCCATGTTCCTAAGTATTTATAGTTATTAACACTTTCAATTGCAGTATCTTCAAATAGTCAATTGTATATTTGCATGTGCAGATTTAGTCATGATCATGCATTTAGTTTTCTTTAAATTTATCTTCAGTCCGTACTCATGACAGCGTTCATTAAGGCGTTGCATTACGTGTTCTGTAAATCATTTTTGTTAGACGTAATAGATTTTGACAAGAGCTGTGATCTTGAAAATATCAGGTAAACTTGTGTACTGAATCGGCATGACTTATGGTTCTTGTTAAAAATAGCCATTACCTCTATCCGTCATTATTACTGTATCGTCTGCAAACGTAAGTTATTCAAAACTTCTCCATTTATAGATATACCTTCTATTGCGTCTGAGAGCGCTTCTTGAAATACCGCTTCACTGTAGACATTGAAAAGTAGTGGGGACAGCACGCAACACTGGCGGACTCCTCTCCGTATTTTGATATTTTCGGTGTACTGGCTGTCAACTATTACCTTGGCAGTTTGATTCCAATATAAATTAGATATAATTTTCATATCACAACTGTCAATATTTTTGCTTTTTAATATATCTACAAGCTTTTTATGTTGAACCGTATCAAATGCCTTTTCAAAGTCTACAAAACATAAGTAAATGTCGTGATTCATGTACATGCATCTCTGAGCCAGCACATTTAAGCCGAACAAAGCATCTCTTGTACTCATACCATTTCTAAAGCCAAATTGTGTGTCACTAATTTCATATTCAAGAGTTTTAACAATTCTGCTGTGAATTATTTTCAAAAATGTTTTAAGTGTGTGACTCATTAAAGCTATTCTTCTGTAATCTGAGCGAGTTGTTGCACTTGGCTTTTTGGGAATTGTTACAAAGGTCGATTGCAGCCATTGTCTGGGGATTGTGGCAGTCTGATATATTAGATTAAAGAGTTCAACCATTACATCAATAACATCTTCATCGATGAGTTTTAATAATTTGATGGGCACATCATCTGGCTCAGTAGCTTTATCCTCTTTTGTATTTTTGATGGCATAAATGACTTCTTCTCTTAATATTGGTGGCCTGGTATCCTCGGTGATTTCTAATAACAGTTCTTCTCTATCATCATTAAATAGTTGTTGAATGTAATTGGTCCAGTGACATAATCTCTCCTTCATATCGGTAAGAATATCCCCTTTATTATTTTAAGGATATTCGTTTTTGTACGTTTTCTAGAACCTCTCATTTCTTTGATTTTTTTTGTGTAAATTAAAGCTATCATACTTTTCATCCAGATCTTTTATTTCCTTGCATCTGTCGGAGAGCCACCTCTCTTTTGCCTCTCGAATTTTCTTTCTGATGTTTCTCTGAATTTTTTTGTATTTATTTAGGTCTGTTGCTTTATATTTTCTTCGTTCTTCCATAAGTTCAAGAATTTCTACTGCCATCCAAGGTTTTGTTTTTTCTCCAAGTGATTTGAGGGTTTCTTTTCCAACTGACACAAGGGCATGTTGAATTTTTCCCCATTTTTGGTCAATAGTTAGAATTTCCGCATTATCTTTTTTGACTTTCCTTATGTTTTCGCTTATTTTAAATTTCATTTCCGCATATGTGTTTTCTTGATTGAGACGTCTTGTATCCATAATTTTCTTGGTGCTAGGGCTGTTGACCTTCTTTAGTTTCACTCTTACCGACAAAACAACCGGGTTGTGATCGGAGGATGTGTCCGCTCCTGGATAAGTGTTAGATGATTTAAAGAATTTCTATATCTTCTGTTGACGATAATATAATCAATTTGATTTCTGACTATTTTGTTGTTAACATTCATACGAAATTAAAACTCAATTATTCGCATGTACAGCTACATGAGACAGATACTCATCAATAGGATAGAAACTGTGGTAAATTAAGAATTCTTTAACACTATGTTTAAAATACTTAAAAGATAATTGTTTATATCATATGGATATAGAATAGAATAAAATAAAAATACGCTTTATTGTCACAGAATATTGTACAGTTTTATGGACAAAGTTTACAAAAAGTCAGAAAATAACAATAATTAAAATTTACTTAATTTACATAAATCATTAATATCACAAAATAAAAGATAACAAAATTAACAATCCATTGCAAAGTTTAAATAAATTGCAAATTTCGTAATAAAACATTACTAACTAATAAGTTTCTGCTTACAATACCTAAATATATAAAAATAATTAAGTTACTTGTATATAAAGGTAATATAAAGATTTTAGCTACATTGTCACTATTGCAACAAGCAACTGCACAGCACATTTTGAAAAAGGTACACAACTAGATACACAATGGCAAATAAAAACTAGATACTGAAGAGTAAATATTCATAGATCAGTCGCTATACAAAAAAATTAAATTATGTGCAGGAAACACCAGTAATGATAAAACGTAAACAATCCATATGATTTGATGCCGTACATCAAAGCACTAAAAACAAGCGAACTACAAGTTATACAAGAAAAACTATTAGACAAAATAATAAACTAAACAGCAACTAAACACCACGGATACTGTTTAAGAGACTATAATGCTTTTACTAAAGAAAAAACGAGGTAAATTGCTACAATGTAAAAAAACTCGTTAACTATTATTACAAATAATTATTGGGCTCTTCTTCAATAGCGTTCTTGACTAAGACACACGCCTGGCTCAGCTGTCAAATGTCATGCGCAATATCATACCCTATGTTGATTGTACTATGAGTCTACAGTACCACCTACTGCGTCACTTTTTCTGATTAGATGTAATCTAAGTACACATAAAAATATATAATTTGTAATAAATATACATTGAAAGAGAATAATACATGATTATACTGTTTTAGGTCGAATGTTTGTTATCCTGTTTTATTTTGGATGGGCGTTTTTACCGATGTTTTACTTAAGTTCGTATTTCTTTAAAGTTCCTTCCACTGGTTACACAAGAATGACCCTTGTCAGTATATTTGGAGGTAATACGCACAAAATGGTTACCTTTAGTGTCAATTTATAATAATTGTTGTTTATGTTTTAGGAAACGCTGCATTTCTCGTGGTACAGGTTCTTCAAAGTCCAGGATTAGACCTGCAATACATTGGAAATGCTTTGCACTGGCTCTTCCTAATATTTCCACATTACTCATTGGCAACTGGAATAAATGAAAGTTTTAAAGTATATGCCTACAATTATATATGCGAAACCCTTCTTAAAACTTGCGAGGAACGGAATATTCCCAAAAAAACTTGTTTATCACATAATGAAAGAATTCGTGATATTTGTGAAGGTATGTTAATTCTCTTTACGTTTTATATGAATGGTTTGTGTAGTTCTATAATTTTGATTTAAATATCATCTGAATACATTTTAATAAATTGATTAATGTTTAAGAAAAACATGCTCGGCCACATCGATTGGTAATATTTAGTTAAGCATTTTTTTTCAATAAAAACTTTTAATACAGGGTGTCATATTAAAGTGGCTAATAACATCTTTCGTATTTTAAATATATCATTCTGTAGGTATAGCCGCATGCAGTAAATCCAGTTAACGAAGAACAGTTAAAAGTAATATTCTACATCAAAAGTTCGCATGAGAATTTACCATAAATGTGTTACATTTGCACTCGCCTACTTCTACAATTTTAGCGCTCTCCTATCCATAATTGTTTAGGCAAACCATATCATAGGTCATAAACTGGATCTCTAATCCTATCTCTAAGCTTTAAATCTAAAATAGAATGTATCTCTTCATACCTCTTTGTACTTCCGTGGATAAAGGTTAAATTGTCAAATCCGCGTTTCTTTTTATTTAACAAATTTATTTTATTTTTAGATGCTGATTTGAATTACTTTAAATGGAAGGCACCTGGAATTGCGAGGAACCTTGTTTATTCATTTCTAACAGGCATTATTTTATTTGCGCTTCTTTTGGCCATAGAATATAAACTTTTCTCTAGAATAAAGTATTACTTAACACAAAAGCATTTTACCAAAAAACCTATACCTGTTGAAGACGAAGATGATGACGTTGCAAGAGAACGAGAAAAAATACATGTTGCTACAGAGACTGATATTAAACAAAATTATACATTAGTAGTCAAAGATTTAACCAAATACTATAAGAACTTTTTGGCTGTGAACGGACTGTGCGTTGGAATAAGAAAGTTCGAATGCTTTGGATTGCTTGGAATTAATGGTGCTGGAAAAACTAGTACATTCATGATGATGACTGGTGATACCAGTATCTCATATGGTGACGCCTGGGTAAGTATCCAATAAAAATACACTTCTTTTTCAAATAAAAGAATATATTTGGCTTTTAAGTATGTACTTACATTTAAAAAAAACTATTACAAACAAAACCTGAAACAAATTTTTATTTATCATTTAGTACAAATTTTAAATTATCAAAAAATAAATGCTAAATATAAACGAACCTTTAAACAGAAATGCAGAAACAGTTGGGTCAACTTGTGTCTCAATCTAAACAGACAAGCTCATCCAACTGAAGTATGGGATAGAATTAAGAAAATTAAAAAAAAAAAATTTGTATGTGCACGACAAAAATATCGTTGAAAATTTATTTCATAAAATAGCTCCTTGCTATATTCCTTCTCCAATATATCCCACTAAAGATAAATTCAAATCACATTTTTTTGTCATCTTCTATTAGTATCAATAAACTAACTGCTAATATCAAGTACTATAAGAGATCCTCCCCTGGGATTGATGGTATCAATTATCTTATGATAGGGGAGAGTCACCCAAGTTGGGACAGTTTTTTTTTATAACAAATACTTGAAAATCTATAGATATTAAAAAAAAGTTGAGGTAATAAAATGAAACTTTATTCTAATTATTAACACATTTTAGATATAAACTAAATAAAAAATAAAAAATATGCTTCGTTTTTTGTTATTAAAAAAAAGTGTGAATGTCCCATCATGAGAAACCGGAATCCTAAGATTGTCCGTTGGGTTTCTCAAAAAGGGACATTACTCTATACAACTTCCACAAATAAAATAGAAATCATCCATTACTCCACAAGACTCATGAGCCCAATTTGAACATATTTTGCAGTTGTACCAGTCTTCACTACTCTCTGCGTACTTCTTTCCACATACAATGCAGTTTGAATCATCTTTAGTTGAAGTGACGACTGTGATATTGCTAATATTTGCATTTCGAGCGCTGTGGTCCATAACTACAGTTCGTTTCACAGATTTAACCTTGTTAGTAGGGATTGTGGATTGCAACGTCTCTAATTCATTTTTATACGGCGATTCTGTGAGTATCGTGGATTTCAGAGAATGTCTAGAAGAAGTCTTACCTTTCTTTTTCTGTGCCTTTGGTAGCGGACTAATATCAGTCACTTTTACCTTGGATGTCGGAAATTGGATAGGAATGATTTGGCTTCTCTGTATCGGTCTGTTATCTTCGGAATCGCCATCTTTAGGTGACCTTAAAACAGACTGTTTTGAGGTTGAAGGAATCGGATTATCGTACATTTCAACTTGATTTACGCCTTCGGTATGAGCCATCATTACGGGTAATTTATTGACCTGTGATGTAGTTTCATTGTCCACTGATTGTTCCGTCGTTTTAGAGGGAGCGAATTCGCAGTCTTGAAATACATCTTCGTTAAAAGGCCAAATTCCGGTTACTCGGAATCCATTTGTCGCTATCTGTACAGAAGATGCCTTTGAGAATGCTTCTGCAACAGCCCCTGAGATTTGATATATTCCAAATGTACGACCACAATGATTTTTTAGCCATCTAGTAAGGTACAAATCATAATAACTCATAAATGATTTAAAATACGAAACATCTAGGGTTGCATTTTATGCGTACAGTGTGGTGGCAGGCATAATAAAATAATACCATTCTCGCGACAGAAGTTTATAACGTCTAAACTTTTTGTATGTGAACAATGGCTGTCCAAAATAATAAGAATTTTGCACTCCTTTGAAGGTCTGGTTTGTTGTGCAAAATATTTTATGAATTTTAAAAAAACATCACGATCCATCCATCCTTTGTCCTGTGGAAATGCCGGACTACCGTTAGGTGCATTGTCCATCAGCTCTGGTTTTATTTTCTTTTCTGGGAAATATAAAAGCAAGCGCAAGAATATAGTGACATTAACTCCTCTTTCGGCACTTGTTAAACCTCCCACTTGCTTTTTACCCCTCTGAGCAAGAACTTTAGATAATTTTTGGACGGTGGTCACTCCGGTCTCATCAATATTCCAGATTCTATCTGGAGTGAGGTGATGTTTTATTATAAATACTTTCCAGGTTGTTGAAAAAACTTTGGACTGCATTCTTGTTGAATCCTGTAGCTCTAGCGTATGAGGTTGCTTCTGGTTTTCTCAGAGAAATATTTCTATGTCGACTCAAAAACCCATAAACCCACTTTTTGGAGGCCATTCGAGTATCTTTATTAAAATTGTTAACAATATTATTGGCTTGGGCAAAGTCAAATGCCAGACAACGAAGTTCTTTATAAGTGATTCCAAAAAATCGCTTTTCCATTTCAAGAATATGATCTAAAATTTCGTGTTCCTGTTCAACTGAGAATATTTGCCTAAACCGACCAAGATATTTGTCATTTTCGGTCACGATTTTATTTTTGTTTGTAACTCGTCTTTGAAGAGTACTTTTAGGAATATTATATCTGTCAGCAGCTTCTCGAAGCGATAGTTCGTTATTCCGAACTTTTTGTACAGCTAGAATCATATTTTGAACGGACCAGTTTCCACGATCAGTTTTTCTTTTGTAATAGGAATTCGGATTTCTATTTCGCATCTGTAAAAGAAAAATATATCAGTGCCACTTACGAGATATAGAGTTCACTGAATAAAACATTTTTTAATGACACATTATCTTTACTTAGCTATAATCAACGTTAGAATATTATGACCTCCTTGGGTATAATCCAATTACTGAACCCCTACTTATAAATGTTTTTAGATGAAATTCTTAAAATCCGTCTGTAACACCACATCTGGAATACCTCGAGTTTTTTTAAATAAGCTTAGGAAAGTATACTCTACTCCGTATAATAACGTAGAAAATACATAGCATCTAATGAGAGAGATTTTGGTAGCAAGTGGTAAATCGTGACTTCTGAAAAGAGACTTCATCATTATGAACGCCAATCTCGCTTTTCCTATGCGTGGTTTTATTTCACTGGAGTGATCACATTGGCTGTTAATGTTGGTACCAAGGTATGTGTTGACTCTGTCAATTGGATGTTGGTTAACCAAAAGCTGTGTATTTAATATTTCGCGCTTACTGACTACCATGTACTTTGTTTTCTTCATATTAAGATCAAGTCCGTGTTCTTTACTTATATCTGATATACGCGACATTATTCTTTGCAAATCGTCCAGACTATCTGTAAAAAATACTGCGTCATCGGCATATCTAATGTTGTTTAGATGCATTCCGTTGACTAATATGCCTTCTTGTAGTTCTCCCAGCGCTTGCTTGCAGATATATTCAGAGTATATATTAAATAACACCGGGAATAGAATGCATCCTTGCCTTACTCCTCTATCTATGAAGACTGCCTCTATCAATTGGTCATCCACTTTAATATTGGCTGTTTGGTTGTAATATAAATTATAGATGATTCTCAAGCCCTATCATCTAACCCCACTTCTTTCAAGATGTTTATAAGTTTATCATGCTTTACTCTATCAAATGCCTTTTTGTAGTCAGTCGATAAAACAAGTATACACATCACAGTTAACATCTCTGCATCTTTGCATAAGCACTTGGACAGCGAATAGAGCCTCTCGGGTGCCTAAGAAATCGCGGAATCTAAACTGAATCCATGATACTTGTTCTTCGCATTTTTTTATATATTCTGCCATGTATCACTTTCAAGAAGGTTCTAAGTAAGTGGCTCATTAGGCTGATTGTTCTGTAATTTTGAAATTGTGTCAAAACATGTCTTAATAATTTGTAAATATAGGATACCATATACAACATACAATGAATTAGACAAAGAAATATGTATTACAACAAATAGAAAGAAGGAAGATCTTAAATAAATCTAACAAAAGGGGAACCGACGAATATAGAGAACTAAATAGGCAGATTAGAAAAGGAATTAGACAACAAAAAAGAAAAGAAAACGAAAACTTAATAACAACTATTGAAAAAATAAGAGTATGAAATGCCTCAGACCGACACTAGGACGACGTCAGATTATATCATTAATGGAAAATACGAAAATAAAATCACAAGTAGAGAAAAATACTGACACGAATAGAAGAATTTTACACAGAACTTTACAGATCACATCAACAAGATGATGAGATGAGACTAGCACGGAAATTAATAAAAAATGTTGGATCAGAAATAATGCCAAAAGTAACAATTTCAGAGGTAACTACAGCATTGGAAAACATGAAGAGAAATAAAGCTGCAGGAGAAGATAGTATTATTACAGATATGATATTAGAAGGAGGTAAGGAACTAATTGCAATTGTAACTAAGCTTGTGGACAGTTGTTTACATCAGGGCAAAGTCCCTAAGAGCTGGAACAACTCTAAAAGTAATCTTATTACACAAGAAAGGTGATAGTCAAAAATTGGAAAACTACAGACCATCAGCCTACTGTCACACCTGTTTAAAATACTCACCAAAGTCATAACTACTCGACTAACAAGGAAATTAGACGAATACCAACCATATGAACAGGCAGGTTTTAGAAAAGGCTATTCAACTTCCGATCACCTGTTAACCACAAAAATATTAATAGAAAAATGTAACGAATACAAGTTTCCAGTTTTCCTAGCATTTGTAGCCTACGAAAAAGCTTTGATACCATAGAACACACGGCCGTAATAAACGCAATGCAAAATTGTAGAATCGACAGCAGATATATTAACTTAATAAGAACTATGAACCAAGCTACAGCTACATACTACCTAAATGAAAATGAACACACGAACCCTGTACTATTAAACAGGGGAGTCAAACAGGGAGATACTTTATCACCCAAACTGTTCACCTTAGTTTTGGAGGACGTTTTTAAAAACCTAAATTGGAAATATAAGGGAATAAACATTAATGGCCGCTACCTCAGTAATCTACAATTTGCAGATGACATAATCCTGTTAGCTACTGACCTACAAGAACCACGCAACCACCACCTTCCACGCGATGGAAAGAGCAATGCTAGGTATATCACTTAAGGACAAGAAAACAAACACATGGATAAGACAGAAAACCAAAGTCACCGATGTGGTGCAAAAATCATTAAAGTTGAAATGGGAATACGCTGGACATGTAGCTAGGAGCGATCTCAACAAATGGCACAGATCAATTTTAACCTGGAGACCATACCAACACAAAAGACCTAGAGGCAGACCTCCTATGAGATGGACAGATGATCTGAAAAGGACTGCCGGGAAAAATTGGCTACAAGTAGCGTACAATAAAAAACAATGGAAAGGAAGACTTGAAGAGGCTTATGTTCAGATGTGGACGTGAATGGCTAGACGAAGAAGAAGAAGAAGGATACCATATTAGATTGTTTGGAACTCGGATTATTTATCTTTCAATTTTAAACTCTTTTTCAATATATAGTTTTTTTCTTCTCACATAATATTCAAGATATATGCATGTTTTGTTTTTCAGGTGAATGGCAAGAGTATCAAACAACATTTGGAAGAAGTTCAAAAAACAATCGGATATTGTCCACAATTTGATGCCTTACTCGACGACATGACAGCAGAAGAGTCGATTATTATGTTTGCTATGCTAAGAGGTTTACCATTCAGAGATACTTTTAACATAGCTGAATATTTGTCTAGAGAATTCGATTTTACCAGACATTTAAAAAAGAAAGTAAAAGAGCTAAGCGGTGGAAACAAGAGAAAATTAAGTACAGCGATTGCGTTAATTGGGGATCCTCCTTTACTGTATCTAGATGAACCAACTACCGGTAAGTTAATACAAGTAAATTAAATTTTATCAGATTCACTATTTAATATAGCTTGAACTTTATTTACTGTTATCTTATTAGATTTTACTTATAACTTGGAGATTTCGCTCAAATGTTGACTATTGCAAAATTGTCGCAAATATACTCAAAGGAAGGTACCCTAATAGCACACGTACGTCCAGTGGACGTCCATAGTACGTCCCTCGTAAACTTTAGGGATGTCCCTCGAACGCTCAATTTGGTCCCAAGCACGTCCTTTTAACGTCCTATATTGGTTCGAATGTACTGTGCGCTGTGCTAAACGTCCTATGAACGTCCATTTAAGTTGGACGTACAGAAACGTTAATTGAACCTTATCGAATGTCCATAATAATTATCTCGTAAATTACTGGACATAATTATACAAAATTTGAGATACGCCTATTTTGGGATACGGAGATTCCATTTTTGGTATTTGCAATGTTGCCAGATTTTCAGTTTCTCTTATATTACTAGTAACTTTGGTTTTTCAAATATATCACCCTGTATATTCAGTCATTATTGGAATTTCCTATTAAATACGAGTTCAACCATATGTAACACTTATGATTTTATGTAGTCTGGAAGGTCTTAAATACGTAAAACAGAAGTCTGGCAACGCCTAAATTGTTTCAATACATTTTTTAATACTAACTATTTTCAAATACATTAAAACGTAATAATTGATAGTTTAGAATATTTTTTAACATAATAGTTACGTTATTAAGTGTTCAAAATGTGCTCCATTTGTGAGTTGACAGCACTCTAATCGATGGTAGAATGCGTCTACCACATTTCTCCATGATTGTCTAGAAATTATTCGAGATTCATCGATAATTCATTGCCTTAGCTATGCAAGACTTGCTGGTTAAGTTTTGTAAACTGAATTTTTCAAGTATCTCTAATAAAAATAATCTTTAGGATTGAGATCGGGTGAACGTGGAGGCCATTCAATTCTACCTTGTCTACCAATTTATCGTCCGGGAAATATCTCATCAACATAACGCCGAACATTTACACCAACTATCTGACGTTAAATTTCGTTTGATAAAAAATGGCCCAATTAAATAAGTACCTACTATAACTGACCATACATTTAATTTTTGTGGTCTTTGAGTATGGTTTTCAGGCATTCAGTGTGAATTTCACACGAGTTAGCTATTCAATACGAGTTCAACCATATGTTTACTTGATTTATGTAGTCTGAAAGATCTTAAATACATAAAACATTAAATATTTATAATGGAGAATGCTGTGATTTTGACATTTGTTCATCATTTAAATTATGAACTAAAGTTGACAGTAGTTGTGGTTCAAAAAGTTCTGCAATTTAAATTGCTTCTCTAAAATGCCGTTCTCTAAACCGTTCTCCTATTTATAAGACGACGGTACAAACAACTGTGAGGCGATTTGAGGAATCTGGAGAAGTAAAAGATAGATACCGATCAGGTTGACGGAAACGATTTATCAATGACAACAAAACTTCAGATATAATCAAAGTTTTGTTGAAAATCCACACACATCCCCAGGCAGGGTTGCACAAGTACATGATGTAGGTCATTCTTCAGTCTTACGTTTATTACGTAAAAATAAATTTAAATCATACAAAATTAACTTATTGCAAGAATTAAGTGAAGATGACTTTGGTCGTAGATTAGAGTTTACTGAGGTAATGATGGATAAAATTGAAAATACATAATTAAAATTTCGTTAACAGAATATGTTTTTCCGATTAAGCAACTTTTACACTGTGTGGAAGTGTAAATCGACACAATTTAAGGTACTGGTGTGACGTAAATTCACACTGAAGACTGAATGCGTAAAAACCATACTCAAAGACCACAAAAATTAAATGTATGGTCAGATATAAGTAGTAGTTACTTATTCAATTGGGTCATTTTTTGTCGAAAGAAATTTAACGTCAGATAGTTGGTGTAAATGTTCGGCGATATTTGGATGAGATATTTCCTGGACGATAAATTGGTAGACAAGGTAGAATTGAATGGCCTCCATGTTCACCCCATTTCAATCCTAAAGATTATGTTTATTAGGGAGACTTGAAAAATTCAGTTTACAAAAATTAAATTAAAAATTAATTTTTGTTATTGGATAATCAAAAATAAAAATTTTAATAATAAAAAAACTCAATTAAAAATTTTCACGAAATGTTCGCTGTTACCCGAAATGTCGGGTAATAATAAACATGATAAGGGTAATGGCGAACAGTATTACCTATTAACAAAAATCACATTTATAGTTGTCCGGTGTGTCCGAGCCGCTGCATAATTTATGCACCCATCCACCACAAATAATGCAACGGAACCAAAGTTCGCTTTTCCCGAACTCACCACAAATTAAACAATATTCTCCTTCATTACAATCGTCGGTATTAATATTGTCATTGTCATCAGATTCATAATCTTTATATGATGTCGAATCTTCCTCTTCGCTTGAAGATTGTAGTACTTTTCTCTTTGCAGTTTTATTTTTCTTTTTAAAAAATTTTTGTTTTTCAATTTCTTTTTCCATTTTTTGTTTCCTTCTAAGCTCCTTTTGTTCGAGTTCTAATTTCAAAGGCGTTGAGGTTAATATTTCGGATCTTTGTTTTTTTCTTCTACCCTTCTTCGGAACAGATATCTTTTGTTTTTCTTTCGCAAGATATCGCTGAATGAAACTTAACTCAGGATGCCTTAACATGAATCCATATAACCAGTCTTTACCTGCTTCTTGTTTTCCTCCGTTAAAACTATGTTTTAAGTTTAATTTTTCTGCACAGGCGAAGGCCTCTTTTCGCAACTGAATTGGGGTTAATCCATAAAATATTTTAGATAACGTTAGTAACTGACGACTCATTTCTTCTTCCTGTTCATTTGAAAAGAGAGTGTTTGCACCCAGCCTGCCTTTGTAAAAGCCTCTAGAGACTCTGTTTTGTAATATTGTAACAGGTATATTAAATTGGCGTGCAGCTTCCCTTAGGCCATAACGTCTTTCTTCAATTGCCTTTAGAGCAGCTTTCATTTGACCACCAGTCCATGAAAATTTGTTGGTACTTCGTTTCCGTTTAAAAGGCATCTGCAAAAGATACAAATTGTTAAATAAGCAAAAGAAAAGCAAAAATGTAAAATATCTAAGCCAAATTATTAAAAGAGTAAACGCGAACACTTGGCGGGTAATCGCGAACATCTGTTCGTGATTACCCGATTTGGAAATGAATATGAAGAAAGATGAACGAAACAATCATAATATCAATGCATTTAACTTCTTCGTAATAGGACAATTTTATAGGTTAAATAATAGTAAGTTAACTAACTCTAACAATTTAAATGAAACCATCAAGTGTTTAGGTACATACCATATTTTCTGAATTGCTAAAATTGTAGTGCAAGCACCAAAAACAAATAAATCGCTGTTCATTCAATTCCACAAATACGGGGCAACTGTGTATCTATGCCACCACGTGCAGACTAGTAGGAAGCTCGAAATGAAGTTTACAACGGAATGATACAGATGACGTACGCATGTATTCTGTGATGTTCGCAATCACCCGCTGTTCGCTATTACCCTTCGTTCCCCTAGTTATTATTATAATATTATATTTCATTTACTATTTTTAAACAACCTACTTAGTTTTCTATTTATTTCTAGGTATGGACCCTGCTACGAAACGTCATCTCTGGAATGCCCTCTGTAAAATTCGAGACAAAGGAAAATGTATAGTTCTTACATCGCATAGCATGGAAGAGTGTGAAGCCCTCTGTACCAGAATAGCCATAATGGTAAACGGAAATTTCAAATGTCTCGGGTCTACGCAGCATCTCAAACACAAATTCGCCGAGGGATATACTTTGACGATAAAACTAAAGAAAATCTCAGAGAGTTCCAGCGAAGGACTCTTAGAAACTGAACCTATAGAAAAGTTCATTAGCCAAAATTTCCCTAGAGCGAAGCTTCGGGAGAGACACCAGGAGTTATTAAATTATTATATTACTGATAAGTCGGTGCCTTGGTCCAAGATGTTTGGCATCTTGGAGAAGGGAAAGAAAAGTGATCTCAATATAGAAGATTATTCATTAGGACAATGTAGTTTAGAACAGGTAAGAGATACATCTATAGAGATATTACAAAAGTATTTTTTTATAGCCCTTTTTCTATCCGAATTGTCGAATAAAGGCCTCTCCCATTTCTCGCCATTCATCCCTGTTGTGTGATAGGCGTTTCCAAATTGGTCCTGCGACTCTTTTGATATCGTCGCTCCAGCGCATTTGAGGTCTTCCTCTTGGTCTCTTCGCACCGTACGGTCGCCAGTTTCCGACTTCTTTGTTCCATCTACCATCTTAGAGACGTTCGTTGTGTCCAGCCCATTTCCATTTTAATTTAGCTGCTTGTTTCGCGGCGTCCTTTATTTTTGTTTTGTTCCGGATTGCTTCGTTCGTTTGTCGATCTATTAGTGAGATACCAAGCATCTGTCGTTCCATGGCTCGCTGAGTTTTTCGAATCTTGTCCATGATCTTTTTGGTGAATGTCCAGGTTTGAGCTCCGTAAGTGAGAACGGGAAGGATACAAGAATCGAACACTTTGGTTCGAAGGTTTTGGGGTATCTTTTTGTCTTTCAGTATGTATGAGAGTTTTTCTTACTTGTCTGCTTATTTCGGTAGTTTGGTTTTCTTTGTTTACCTTGATATTCTGACCCAGATATATGTATTCTTCTACATGTTCCACTTTTGTTCCTTAGATGGTTATCGTCGGTTGATCATCTTTATTCGACATTAGCTTAGTTTTACTTAGATTCATTTTCAGTCCTTTTTTATGGATTCCGTATGAAGCTCATCGATCATCGTCTTCAGTTCTTTCCAGCTGTCGGCTATTAGTACTACGTCATCTGCATATCTTAGATGGTTTAAATACTTTCCGTTTATCGATAGTCCCTTCGTTTCCCAATTTAGTGATTTAAAGATGTCTTCAAGTGCGGCAGTAAATAGTTTTAGAGATATGGTGTCTCCCTGTCTTACTCCTCGGTTGATTTTTATTGGCCTCGTTTTCATTCCGTTATCCATCGTGACTACCATTTCAGCGTGTTGATATATATTATGTATTAATATCCTATATCTAGAATCTATTCTGCTGTTGACCAGTGCTTCCTCAATAGCCCATAATTCTATGCTGTCAAAAGCTTTCTCGTAGTCTATAAATGCTAAACAGATTGGTAAATTGTATTCGTTAACTTTTTCTATTAGGACCTTTAGTGTGTGAAGATGGTCACATGTACTGAACCCTTTTTAACATCGGGCTTGCTCTACTGGTTGATATACATCGAACTTTGTTGTCAATCCATTTGTAATTATTTTTGTGAATGTTTTATAAAGTTGTGATAGTAGTGATATTGGACGATTATTTTTCAGATCTGTATTGTCCCCTTTTTTGTGTATTAATATTGTGTTAGCCTTTGGTATGTTTCCTTCAAATAGGCATTTATTAAAAAGTATTTTGAGGTACCTGATGACTTCTTCTCCGCCTTCTTTCAACATTTCTGCCAGAATTCCATCACTACCCAGAGCTTTATTTCTTTTCAATTCTTTAATTGCATTTTCTATTTCTACTTCGCTTATTTCGGGCATTACTTCAGAATTTACGTTTGTTATTTGTCTTTTCAGATTTTGCTTTGAAGAGTCGGGGGGATCGTTTCTTGAGCTAAGAACTCAGTATAGAAGTTTTCAACTATGTTTGATATCTGGGCTTTGCTTGTTTCTAGTTGGCCTTGTTGATTTTTCATAGTTATAATATTTTTCTTTCCTGATTTCGGTTTGGTATATTTCAGACTTCGCTTGGTGCTTGGGCAGTTTTTAATTTGCTAGCATATTTTTCTTTATCGACTTTTAGCTTTTCTGTGTCTATTTGTATCGTGTTATTAAAGTTAATTTTACGTTTGCTATACTTATTCCTTAGTTTAGCTCTAACCATTCTGTGATCACTACCCAGAGACACATTATTTATTACTGTTACATCTTCTACGATACCTTTCTTGTTACACATGATGTAATCGATTTCGTTCCTTGTTTTTCCGTCTGGTGATAACCACGTCCACTTTCTTTGCGGTTTTTCTTATAAAATATGTTTATTACGAAATATTTGTTGGTATGTAGGAAGTTAACCAGGGTTCAAAAGTTTATCACTGTTTTAATATAACTAATATATTTAATATAAACAATAAGCAATGCGTACATATTCCATTGCACTCCTTTGGGACGGAGTTACATTCATCTAAAACAAGTGCAATAAACGACGTAGGGGATAAATGTTATAAATATATCCAAATTGGTCTGGAAGGTCGTAATGATTGCTATTAAAGTTTTTGCATAAATATTTATAAGCTCTGCTGATCCCTGTTTCGCGGGAATTATTCCGACTTTTCTTAATTCTCTTTTCTCTGCCCCCTCCTTTACAAGTTCTTATTTGGTTTTGTCCGATTGGTGATTAACAGAGTTTTGATTTAAAAGTATAGAGAAATGCATAGAAGCACTTAAAAAGTATAAAAATTTTTTGAAAAAAAAAACAGTTTATTATACAAAACCTGCTTTTGTAAACACTATGTTGTTTTCTATTGAATTATTTTTAATTGAAATGGGTGTTTAATTCTCTTTTAGGACTTTTTAGTTTTACTACACACATCGGTAATATATTTTGCAATGACATTTGTTTCGATACTGTTGACTTTCTTTGTCTTAGCCTTCTGTCGTCCATGTTTGGACATAGGCCTATCCCAACTCCTTCCATCGGTCTCTATCCTGAGCAACATATTTCCAATTTGTTCTGGCTAATTTTTTTAATATCATCAACATATCTCATCTGTGGTCTTCCTCTTGGTCGTTTACTTTCGTAAGGTCTCCAATGTTGTATTGTAGTATTCCAACGTTGGTTTTTCTGTCTAGCGGTGTGGCTCGCGAAGCTCCATTTAAGTTTGGCAATTTTTGTTGTTATGTTCTCTTCTTTTGTTTTGGATCTTACCCAGTCGTTTCTCTTTTTATCTGACAGTCGTATACCTAACATTGCTCTTTCCATTGTTCTTTCTGTTGTGGCTAGTTTATTCATGTTTGCCTTGGTTAGAATCCAAGTTTGACATCCATATGTGATGATAGGAAGGATGCATTGGTTGAACACTTTGCTCCTCAAGTATTGGAGTATTTTGCGGTTCTTAAGTATCACACTAAGTTTTCCAAATCCTGCCCATGCTAGTCTTGCTCATTTAGTAATTTCCGCATTTTGGTTCTCTTTGCCAAGTCTCAGGATTTGGCCTAGGTAGATATATTCCTGGATTTGTTCTATCTCACTGCCGTTTATAGTTATATGTCTGGGGTCATCTGTGTTTGTCATTATTTTTGTTTTTTTCATATTCATTTTTAGGCCGGCGTATTGGGAGCTGGCTGCTAGTTCCCCCAACATAATTTGCAGTTCCTAAAATGTGCTCGCTATAATCACTATGTCGTCAGCGAATCTGAGGTAGTTTTGAAGACGTCTTGTAGGGCTTGGTTGAAAAGCTTTGGCGATATTACGTCTCCTTGTCTTACTCCTCTCTTAATGGGGATGAGATTTGTATTTTCGTCTAGTTGTACTATCATAGTTGCATTTTCATATATATTATGTATTAGTTGCCTATATCTCGAATCTATTCTACAATTATAGCTTGTTCTATGACACACATCTCGATACTATCAAACGCCTTTTCATAGTCGACGAAGGCAAGAAACAGGGGTAGTTGGTATTCATTTGCCTTCTCTAGCAATGTTCTCATTGTCAGCAGATGGTCTAATGTACTATATCCTTTGCGGCAGCCAGCCTGTTCAACCGGTTGGTAATTATCCATTTTGTAGGTTAACCGGTTCTTAATAATTCTCATAAATAGTTTGTATACTTGACTGAGCAACGATATAGGTCTATAATTCTGTAGATCACATTTGTCCCCTTTTTTGTGTAAGACTATTACTAGACTCTCGTTCCAGTCTTTAGGGATCTGGCTATTATGGAGACATTTATTAAATAGCTCTGTTAGTACAGGAATTGTTAATGTCATGCTTGTTTTCAAGAGCTCGGCAATTATACCGTCGTGTCCTGGAGCTTTATTATTTTTTAATTCTTTTAAAGCTCTTTCTATTTCGTATCCCTTTATATTTGGTAGTACTTCTGATCTCACGTTTTTTATTTTTCTTTTGACGTTCTCCTTTGTTGTTTCATTAGGCTGGCCTTGCGAGCTATACAAGGATGTGTATAAGTCTTCGACAATATTTGTTATTTTATATTTGTCCTTTTCTACCTTATTGTTGGCGTCTTTAATTTTAATGATTCTTTGAACTCCCAGTGCGGGTCTTAGACATTTTAAGCCTTTGTTGTTTTCAATGACTCGCTCTAGTAAGTTCTCGTTCCATTTTTGTATGTCGCGTTTTAGTTTTTTTCTAATTCTTTTATTAAGTTCCCTATATTTTTGAGTATGGCGTTTGTTTTGCGCTAGTAGTTGTCTTCTTTCCGTCATTAGCTGTTTAGTTTCATTGCTAATTTTGTCTTCTTTAGTCCTTGTTTTCTTTGCGACCTGTAGTCCTGCTGCAAGAAGGTTTTTATTTAGGTTTTTAATAATCTCGTCAATTTGATCTTGATTATGTGAAGGATCAGATTCAAACTTATCCGCTAAGACCTCTCGGAATTGCTCTTCATTTGTTCTTAGTTTAAAGTCATCTATCCTCGTTGTTTTTTTAAAAATCCTTTTTCTCTCTTCTTTCATGGTAATATTTATTTTTGCTCTGACTATACGATGGTCACTATCCGTTGTTACGTTGTTTATTGTTGTGACGTCTTTAAATATTCCTTTGTTGTTTGAGAGAAAATAGTCTATTTCATTTTTGGTACTTCCGTTAGGTGCGACCCATGCGACCGTGCGACTTTCTGTTAGGTTTCTTTTTGTAGAAAGTATTCATAACATACATGTTTTCTTGTTCCAGGAATTTCATTTATTTCATGTTCCATTGTATTCAGGGATTCTACAGTATTCACTACCTTCCCTCGCTCAACCGTTTCGGTCCCTCTCTGTTGTCTCTTTCTCCATCGTTTA